AAAAAAAAAAAAAAAAACTCACAAAATGTATTCCACTTGTTAAACAAATAAAATAATTCTTCATGCATTGGAATTCATGAATGTACATCTCTGCACCATTTCAAACAATTTGATATCCGCATGAATTACATACTGATATTTTGTATGCTGAGATCAAATCAAATAGTGATGAGTGCGTGGACCACAGGAGAAACATGCTTCCTTAATTGATTTCAAACGGCACAATCACATATAAGGGCCAAAATTTAAGTAAACAACAGCAACCATACGAGTGTCGCATAATTCGATAAAATTTACTTCGTTGATGCAAAATACGATCAAATCACCATCAATTCTAATTAATTTGTCCAATAAACATCAGGGACATAATAATCTCTCAACTTTAGTACAAACAAATTATTTATTCACAACACATGCTCTGATACTACATTTAAGTATAATCACGTCATCATCAACATCAACATACCCAGTATATTCCCAACAAGTTGGGGTCTGGGGGTCAGTTGTACGCAGACATTACCCTTGTAATTATACAAGGAGGCTGTTTCCATAGCGACCCAAGGTGCGTTGCGTCGTTTGATATATTTTTTTCTAGAAACTTCACTAATAGAAGAAGCACTAGAATTTAATTGAGCCATTTTGATCTAGTCCATTATTAGCACTATGCTAGGGGAATTGTCAACAATGACTCTTCTAGCTCCATATGCAATGGACATAATTTAAGTATAATCACACACCTTGAAAAAATTATTTGGTATATACGAAATACTTACTCGATGCGGAAACTGATATAAGTTCCCTCCTGACCGAACCCTTAAAATGTGATGGGATAATAGCTGCTTACGAAGATATTGACTAATTAATATAAGGGTGACTTTAGATCTGGTACGTCCATCAAGTCTTAAATTTATTTGACTATTAAATAAATATCTAGCCCAATAAAATAATTAAATGTGACCCAATGCTTCCGGCCACATATATTTTTATATGTTTATGGCTCAACAAAAGTTGCGGATACATAAACTGCAATTTTGGTCATAGCGATTTAGTACAGAACAAGTGTTATAATAAAGGCTTTTTTCAAGCAATTAAGTAAAAAATGAAGCACGTGCAAAAATAAAAGATAAATTGCATGAACCCACGCCAATGCAAGCTGGGTCATCAATCCATACATAAAGTGATCACTTCTTGCAAACAATCCCATTTCCACCGGAAAATTTAGCCGAGCAATCCATGGTCGTCCCGTGATCCATCACTATCTTCAGGCCCTGCGCAAGCCCATTTTGATCAAAAACGCATTTCTTACAGTCGGCCGAGAAAAGTGACGTGGTTCTATACTTATCCTCCCCACCAACCACTGCCATCACAAGGCCCAACCTTAACGGGGCCTCATAGTCGGGCCGGTAGGTGTGGCCCAACACACCCTCCACCTGGCTGGACAGCCCGAAGAAGCTGAACTGCACCTCCAAATGCGAAAAGCAATCGTCCGACGGTAGATGGTACTTGTGTACCCTGTCGTCCTCTTTGGTTATTGGGACAGCATTCACCCCAATCTCCACGATTTCGTTTACGGACAAGACTATGCTATTGGTGTCGGTTATCCTCTGCAATGTGATGTCACCGTTTTCAGATCTCCACTGGGACAGGTGGCCAAGTGGCAGGACCACCTCTCGGCCGTCCAACCCGAACCTCAAGTGGTCCTTGCCCTGGTCCCATTCGGCGGCCGCGGTTGCCTCCACGGAGAAGTTGTGGGGCCCGAAGCGGACACCCAGGGCCTGGATCCAGGTGTAGTCTCTGGCCCTGCCCGTGGGCCTGTGGCCTATGAAGCGGGCGTTGATCTGGAGGTTTTTGTCCGAGACGAGGGCGAAGTGCTCGTTTTTCCTGCCGTGGAAGTAGAAGACGCCGCCATCCGGGCCGATGAACCGTGGGTCATAGCAGGCGGCCCCGGCCCCATTGCAACTCGGCTTCCGATCTAAAAACCATATTAATCAATCACTTGTTAGTATACAGAAACTGAAAACCAAAATATAGATATTGTTACTGGCGCGCGTGCGTACGTTTGCATTGTGCGGTGCACATTGGAGAATTGCAGTCTACGTAACAAGCTTTTGCCTTTGGGTCAGTTGGGGTAGTGGACGGGCACTGTCTCGGGCAACTAATGCGTCTGAGGAAGCAAGGGGACGCAAGCCTGGTGCAGGTCCTCACTTGTGGAATAACATTATCTGCATATATTTGTGATGCGCACACCAGTAACAACAATAATTGGAACTTCATTGTGTTGGATCTAATATCAAATAATTATCAACAATGTGCAAACAAACTCTTTGCGTATGATAGAGTTCACTTCATACACTCTTATTTATAGCAAACAGACAAGGGTGGGTGTGGGTGTTTGGGGCATCGCATGTGACCCGGAGTGTGGTCTACGCGTATGATATGATCATTAATCAAGATACAGCTGCAATTACCTACATTTTGTGTATTGTTTTCCGAGTCCAATGGTCTTCAATTTTAGTACTATTTAATAAGCAATTTGTTATATGATATATCAAAGTCAAAAGGACTATCCCGACGTGCTACCACAAAAACTAAGTTGACAATTCACAATGTTGGGGCATAAAAAAAACGTTGTGCAAATTAGTTTTGTCCTTGTATTCACATGAATCCAGTAAAACTATAGAATTTGCAAGAATGTTGACAATCGTTTTTTTTTTTTTTTTGGAACGTTGACAATGCTATATCACATCTTTTAGTTTGTTTTATTCATCGCTACTTGTTCAGCATAGTTACTTTTATACTAACAATTTATGGATGCTCTCAAAGTGACCACTAACTCCAAGCAATCTAGTTTATCACAAATACAAAATAATTCAGAGAAAGATTCAGAGAGAATTAAAGTAAGAAATTTCTCAATACATCATTTAACGCCCCACTTTTATTTGACAAAATGCAGAGTAAATTTTTTAAAATTTATTTCATAAAACTTTGGCAGCGCTACTATTTGAAAAACCATTTTCAAAGACATCATAAATGCAACTCTCAAAACCAGTTCCAAAAATCAGGTCAACACCCAAACCGGGTATATCAATAACATCAATCTCCCAAAATCGGGTTTTCTAAAATTTATAAGTATTGGGGAGTACACTCCCTATCAATAATCCAAATTTCGACATTAATCAGAATGCATAACCGATACTAGATAGTTCAAAGCAGCGGAAATAAATTCAGTAATATGACCACCACTCGCCTTCCCTTTTCGTGCCAGCGAGTACTAACCTGCATCCATGAAGAGCAGGTGGGGATGAGCACAATTGAAAAATCTAGGTGCCCACCACTATGCAGTAATCAATATTCGATAATCATAAACAGTATAGGTATGGTCGCAGTATGAACGTGAAACAATTAATATCCCATCTCCTATCCCAGAGTCAACCCTCATGTGCACACCTATACCAATAGACCACTGAACTGATACACGTATCAAAATGCCCCTCGGGTCTTACAATGGATGCCCAGCCAGCAGGAGTAAATCCACCTCGAATGCCAAAACTCACACCTTGGCCTTACATACGAGGATCATCAGACAAGGCTCACGCCCTAACTGTCATACATAAATAAAGGAGACTA